CTGCGTAAGATCTATTATTTGGGGAAAACTTAGAAATTTCGTCTTTTTTGAAGACGAAAAATATTCACGAGGCAATATTACCCTTTTCATTGTGTTATGAAACTTTATTACGAGAAACGTCGGGCATATGTATGGCTGCTTTATGTAACCTAGGGGTCGTAATATCCTTTTTAATGCTTTTAATTTATTAAATTAATGACGTCTATTTCGCCGTCCAACTTTCTAGTTTAGTTTCTTTGTAAATAAGAAATATTAAACACAGCGCCATCTAGCGAAATAAACTAGAATCACTTGGAGTACAAGTAAGGTGGCATAGAAAAAGATAAAACGGTGTGACGTAGCGTGATCGTGAAATTGACAAAGTCGAACAGCTGATAAGCAAAGATTCTTCGCGCTTATTAAAGTGAACATTTAATTAATTTTGTATTAAATGCAAAAGATAGTGGTTGTTAGTAAATTAGCACAGATTTAGAAGTGGAACAGTGATGTGTTTAAGTGTGTTTTAAAGTGTTGTTGGGTTTTGTAAACACAACATAACCTCAAACAGTAAACAAATCACGATATAAGAGGTAGGTACCTGTTTTTAATTTTTTTTCAATAAATTAGATATTATCATCATTTATTTTTTGGACTTACTAAAATTAAATATTATTTATATATCATTTATGGTTTTAATCCAAGAGTCGAAGGGCCAGTGATTTTCCAATAGGTACGATAATAATAAACAGCTTTGTATTTGAGAATTGACCGCCGTCATGAGGTCATGTCTTTAATTGGTCATTTAGGAAAGTTATTTACTGAAATCTGATTTTTAGTTTTCATAACATAAGTCCGTTTAGATTTATAAAAAAATATATGCCCAAATGCAAAAATATCGTATTAATATGTAGTCTATTTTAAAGAACTATTAGGCAGAGATTATTTTTCCCTACGCCCCCTGTACTGTTTACTTCTTAATGTTTTCTTTGTCCCTGATAACCTTTGAGCAAAAAAACAATACATTTTTTTATTAGAATTTTGACTGTGAGTATTTCGTACGCATGAAATGAAAAAGACCACTGAGTGTTTCAGAAATACTCTAGACATTATTATTTATTTAGACGCTAAGGTTGAATTAGAATATAACAATGTTCAAATGAACCTCTGGCCACATATACCAAAATGTTTAGTAGCAAAATTTTTGATTCTTCGGCACAGGCTAAGGTTTCGAATTGCCCATACTACCAGATTCAAATTTTTCTTCAATAGTTTGATTTTTTGACATTATATTTAATTTTCTGACGTCATATCTTTACGGTGGCCATTTTGAAACTCCCATAACGTTTTAAGGAAACAAAAGACGGTTGAAGTATTTTTTTTATAAACATATTGTATTTTTATACAACATCAAGTGAAGGGACGAACAAGTGCGCCTGATGGCAAGCTACACGCCTGTCCATAATATTTTTTTTAATACAGTTGCTCAAAACGTGGTATTTTTCGTACTACATATCGTGCCGAAAGTTGGATTTTTCGCACTAGTGCTTTTTACTTTTCCATTTTTTTTAAATTTACTGTTGTTTCAAGTCGTAAACATAGAACTAAAGAGGTTGTAGATTTATTTAATATTTATGTGCTTTGTAACGTAAGTCATTCGTCATTAAAACTTATATTTTAATGACGAATGACTTATCTGATGTTTGTAAGTACATCTATTTGTTTAAATTGCATAGGTGTTTTATAAAACAACGGATTACATTTAAAAATACCAAAATATTTTCTATAAAGATGGCTGATTGAGTATTAGCAATGACCGGAGGTGAGTATTACGAGAGACGGCTGCACGCCGCGCCACTAAAATAGTAATTTTAATGTGGCTGAATACTGGGAACAGTTGCCACCCTAAATTTTTTAATTCGCTCTGGGCCTTTTGGAGGGAAAAGTGTCGTTTTTATTTTGACTTTCAATTATTTTGTGAAATCTAGTTTAAAGTGGAATAGGATAGTGCTATTGTGCCTTAATCGAAGATTAAAACGCGAAATTATTCGAATCTCGAACTAAAATACCCGTATCGGCCCGTTCTAAGGAATCCCGAGTCAATCCAAACAAGGCGTCTCAAATTGCCTATCTTCTTTGTGGCGGCCATATTTACAGAAACATAATTAAAGATTCGCTCTGGACCTTTTGGAGGGAAAAGTGTCATTTTTATTTTGACTTTCATTTATTTTGTGAAATCTAGTCGTTCTGACTTCTGTCAAGGACATATTTAGAGGATCAGTCGAGGTACCACAGTGTCTCTACCACGAGTGTTGCTAACGATAGAGGTGCGCGTTTAAGCACTATAAAAGGTTTGCTTTTTAAAATAAACACATAAGCACGCTTTTCAATTTAAACGAAGCGCTATGAACGTGCTTATGTTTTAAGTCCCACCATCTACGTTTCCTAAACAAATTAATTAATGGATATGAATAATATATTTTTTGATCAAAATAAAACTCGTGTTTTACAAATAAACTTACTTATCTTAGAACCTCTATCTACTCTAGCTTTTCTCTATCAACACGACTTTGCACGCTTTTTTAACATATGTATAAGTATATGCGCTTAAACGTTTTTCTAAACGATTTTGTAAGCTTCTAACTAAAAAGCGTTTAAAAAGCACGCCTTTTTAAAAAAGTACAAAGTTGTAACATTTTAAACATTAAACAGTTTTTCCCGTCTGTAACTAGCGCCCCTAACGGTCACAGAAAGAAACAACATTTTGTATACAAATATTTTACGCGGTCGCGGTAATGAACTGTCACTATAGACATCACATGTATAGAGGCACAGCTGATTTGTTTTTTACCCAGCTGCCCCAGCAGGAAGAATACGTTTTTTGGGTGTATGTGCATATTATGTACGGAATTTTCACGATAGACTGGATATGGCGGCAAAGTTTAGGTTGGCAGGAACACTCAAAATTAAAGGTTGTAGTGCTCGTACGGTTGTAGGCGAGTGTACCAATTTTTAATACTGGCTGCAGGTTGGCAGTCTTCTACGACTTTAAGACTAGAACAGATTTCAGGAATATAAACGTATCGAAACCGGAAACAACTCGTGCACGGAGTTCCGCAAAATTCACATCTAGTTCACACCTATTTTTGACGAATTTGCGTAACGGCGTTATCTGACTTTTCCGCATTAATTTGAATACGAGGATCTAGACGTGAGTAATGCGCTAGAATGTTTTCTAGCGCATTGTTTGTTAACAAACAAATTAGCTTTCTCTTTGGCGATGGTGTGAGCGAGTGATCCATCAAACTTTGACAGTTGCTGTAGCGATGTTCTGCAGAAATTCGCCTTGCTCAATTTAATAAGAGTCAACCTTACATTTAAGAGGTATAAAGTCAGTCGGAAAAAAGGCTTTAAATAAACCTTACGCAAAGTCGTTTTGTAGGACGAGGCGTCTCAATAGAAGGCTTCTTTTAGTATCCGAATGTTTGCAGCTAAGTGGACATCGTATCTTCGTCTGATAAGCAGATGGCTTTTGTGATTCCGTACGTTATCAATCATTGTTAATGTAGGGGTGAGCTGTAGCTCTTTCAATTGAAATATTTTGTTACAAATAAAGACTCCAAAGCCTGACAGATCATTCCAGAAATAATATCGGCACGGCTCGCTTGAGCGTCCAAGGAAAAGTTAATTCTCTGCTAATGCTAAGATGTTTAAAATTACTACATATTAGCGAAATCTCTTACCGTACGCTATGTTTGATCCAACATCGCATAGAGATCAGAACTTTCTAGAGGAGAAAAATCCGATATTTTACATTCATAGTCATACTACTGCAGTCCATTGCTAAACATATCTCCTGAGTAATACTGATGAAATCCTGAGCAAAATTCGGTCTTCAGCTCCTTGCATTGTATCAACCTGTGCACGTCATGCCATTTGGGTAGAGACGACTCACGCTACACTTACCCAGACGTGGTCTCCACTCCAGAAAACGCCTGAAATAGATCTGGGTTTGTTGTCAGCAGAAAGTCAAAGAATGACCATCAGCGTCAGGTACAAGTGTAGTGCTTGCGTGCGATTCTATTACTAAACAGTGGTTCCATTCGGGGAATAACAACCTAGTGACGGGCGTTAAAATAGCTTTTTTTCGTGGAATAATCCTCCTAGGATACTTCTCCGCTGCGGGGGTAACGATGAGGTTATGCTGGACTTGTACCGGCTACAACACCACGGTGGCTCTAGTGGGCTTCTCGGGTGCTCTAGTAAGTGGAATCCCGGATCGACTTTGCGCACTGGAACCCGGGCGTCAAAATTTCTGGAGCAACAGAAGCCAATAAATAACTGTTGCTGAGATAACTGTATCGTGTTGAGAAAGTGTTAAAACAGCCGTAGTCATGACGTCACGCTGGAACACGGCTTGCATCGGTTGATGCCTTGGATGGTATTCACCAGACACCACAGTAAACTTCCACCGGGAAGATATTATTGGTTTGACACCAGCCAGCGGTAACTTACAGCGCTAACAGCCGAATACCTGGACGAATATTAAAGGATTAAAATTAAATTGTTCTGAATTGTCCTCTACATACATATACATAATATTTTATTTGATGTTAGGAATTTTATAAAATTTAGAATTATTTCTATCCTATTTTGTAAAAATGTTTTAACCACGCTTGACATTGTTGTTGATTTTGAAATATCATATAGGTATTTTATTTAAAAAAAAGAAGAAAATTATAATAATTCTTACTTAATTACACATCTTTTGATATACAATTGCCTTTCAATAAAAATGTACTGAATTATTGTAAAGTTAAAAATATAACACAGAATGTCCCGGAACTGCAGTTCTGTAGGTTGAAACTCATATATTTATGCAGAACACCATTCACTATTCAACTGTCAAGTTTAATTTATTTAAATGAAAAGAAAACAGAGACCACTAAAACCTCACCCGTCGGCTTGTTTTAATAAACGTGTAGGAGATTACACTTAACGCTAATGACTTAACAAAGACTCACCTAAAACGTTATCGCATCAGGTTAATGGAACTTCTCGAGTGACTCAACGGTAGAGCCAGAGAAAGCGACTTCTTTTTCTTAATACTGTAAGCCAGTCTTCGAAATTCAGGCATGTCCGGCGTTCACAACAAACTAAATTTCTTCAACACGACACTATTTAATATCTCATCACTCACACTGCATCCAAAAGCCACGGGTTTCGTATTTCGTTATCGTTTTCGAAAGCTGGGTACCCACATCGTTCGTTCGCCGACTCTGGTCGAGTAAAGGCTTACTCAGACTGTCACATGGGTCAGAGATTTAACAGGATTCCGTAATGGGATACCCACGCAAGGAAGTACACAATAATGCGAAACAAGACAGCAGACGCGATAGACGTATATAAGATTTATTGAATTTTTGTTTCTGGAAATGTAGAATGAAACCAAGTGGAGCGAGAGAAGCGGACTCTAAGCATTGACTGGACTGCGCTTGGGCCGTGCAGGATGCGGCCCATTAGGCAAAAGAGCGACCATTATTGTATTGTCGTGGGCTTATCGTAACGCTTGTGTCTCCTTAAATTGCGGGAACGATAAACGTGTGAGTGGCTCCAGAAAACCAGGGGCGCAGGAATGTTCTTTTATGTTGTTTTTGTGCAACTGACTAACCTGCATTGCTCATAACAATATATATTATATTTCACCAGTGACAGTTCGCCCGTTAACATCTTTGTCTGACGATTTGTGTTGCTAAAGACGAGTGGACTTAAATGTGGTTGAAACAGCCCAGAACGAATAAATGAAAGGTCGACTATTGCAACTCAGAAAGCGGATATTCATCGTTTGAAACAGCACGAAAGGGAAAGTTAGACAGTAACAAATGACATAATTAAAATTCTGCGAAAGCATACTTAGTGTAGGAACACAAAGTGCAATTCAAACACCTAAGGGTACGTTCCTTATGTACATAACTCTTTCATTATGATAAAATGGCAGTTGGTCTTAGGAACAACGGCATTAAGAGGCCAAAGAAGGGATCAAGTCACGGGACCGGATCCAGGGTTACTCACGCTCGTTTGCTCAATTGGTCAGTTAACCGACGATCCACTGAAGCCCGTATTTCACATAGGAACCATTGGGAAATATGGGAAGGACCTATTACAATAGGTACAACTACTTTGTAACAAAATAATGGAAAGTAAAGGGTCTCTCAGTAAGAGTGCACTATTTCATTTAAAAATAAAACACATTTTTGAGCGAGTTTTAATTATTTTTATTGCATTATAAAGTAGACATGTGCCGATTGAATATGGAATGAAATATCCGGCCCCACCACAAATGGCCCCCGTCGCTCTGATGACAGGCCATTGCTCTTTTCATGAAATTTTCGACGACTTTTTGAAAAAGATGTGGCTGTATCTATGACGCGTTGATCAATCTTGATATCAGGAATTGTTTGTGGTTTATTCGCTTAGACTATAGATTTCACAAAACCCCAAAGAAAGAAATGGCACGAGGTTAAATCGCATGATCTTAGTGATCAGCATGCTGATTTTGATTGCCTCACCCGATCGGAAACTGCGTCTCTTCCGAGTCGAGGCGCATAATTGCGATTCACAACTGGCCGATCGGAAACATTTCAAATCGGAACAACAGTTGATTTAACTCACAAATTAGAAAGATATTGCAGGAATCAGGTTCATCTTCTCACTCGGAAACCCATCTGATTTCGAGACTACCCGATCGGTTCGTTTCCGATTTTAATCAAAATCAGCATGCTGATGACATCAGAATTTCGTGAGATGATTTGGTCTGGAAATCGTTGCTGCAATAAATCGATTGTTTTATACGCGGTGTCCTGCTGAAACAACATGTTATCCAAATCGAAAATTCCAAATAATCCCCGAAGTTTGCGAGATATCTCAGCGTTACTTTCCCCATTTTTGTAATGGCTTTTACAATAATAACGCGTTCTTTTTTTGTGTAGCGCTCCATTTTTAACTTGGAGGATGGAAAAAAAGTATAAGATTTTTAATAATTTAATTTAATTTTTAATAAATTTAATAATCATAGATTTAAATAGTGCATTCTTATTGAGACACCTTTTTGTTGATTTGAAAACAGTGAAAATACTATAAATAGTCAAAACGTGGAATTGCTGGTAGTAAAATGAAATTTTTTAATATCATTTTACTACCGCGATGGATGCAGAAGAATCGGAACTAACTAAGACGATACAGTTAAAACAGGTGGACTTAAATTAATAAAATCGAGGTAATAAGTTCTCAAGTACGAGGTAATAAGTAACTCAGTACCTAAAGTTTGTTCTTTTTTTATTGCTAGCGTCAATAATTAACGTCAATTGCGCTGTAACACTGAAACTAAATAAGAAATGAAAAAAACCGATTACGTTAGAATGATAGTTGTCGATCTTGTTTCGCTGATCCCAGATATGATAATAACTCAATTTCGCTAAAAATTTCGCTTACGTTAGTTATGACAAGAGAATAGAAAAATGGTTATATATTTTTATGATATCCTCTACCTAAAGTACAGAAACATACAAACCACAAAGGAAATTAATTTTCTTCTTAACACATCTTAAAAACCCAAAAAAGGTTGTTTATAGAAAACTATGTAAGCAATGGCTCATATCTGTATAAAAATCTAGTAACAACTGGTCCCCAATTAAAACTCCTAGCAATCCTTAAATGTATAAAAAAAAATTACACGGACGGCCATTAAATTTTAAAATTATTACTAGTTATTACTTAAGGTAGGTTATTACTTAGTGTAAACTCCGCATATTAGCTTGGTGCAGCAAGCCAACAGCTAGCTACAGCTGAAGACTGAAAATTAGCAATGCTGAGTCTTTAACCTTTTTGTATACATCACTCAATTGTTTTTTTTATCTATTCGTTTTTTATGTATGGAGAAATAAATGCCTTTTTATTTTATTTTTATTTTTAAATAATTGCTTACTGAAACGACTATAAAGAATATAATACAATTTAGTCAGTAACATAGATATAGAACTATATCTATGGTCAGTAGGATCGGATTAGTGGAAAAATCGCTTGTAAGAAGTTTTCCAACTTTCCCATTCGATACTTATTTACTTAAAGTTTCTGAATTCTTTACCAAAATGATTGATGTTTGAAAAAAAATTGTCCGTTTTGATAAATTGTTAACAGACAACCAGTTTAATGTTCTCAGGGTGAGGCCATAAACAGTGCGTACGATCAAATTCGATCGAGGATGCCTGCAATCAACGCGTAAGGTCACCAGGTTTATGATCTGTTAAGAATTCATTTGTTACTCTGACGTATTGGGGGCATAGATCCGTGCAACATTCTTAAGGTCTTTTTTATTGACGCCAAATTATCTGTAATATAGCTCACATCACATAGCTATATTGCTCAAATAATATACCTAAAACAAGTAACCACAGTTAAAAGCATTAAAAGTCTGTATAACTGTCACAAAAGGGAATGCTCCATGCATTTCCCACTGAAGGAGTAGAGTCCCTCCCCATAACCTTCTGAAGCATTTCGTCTGTACTTTAGCCCTTTTTCGTAAGCAAGTAAACAGGGCTCTCAAAAGCCAGCATAGGTAATTATCACAGGTTTCTTACCACGATATGATTTCTTTTTATTTTCCCGATATTTCGGAACTGTTGTTTACACGCTCCATGGTCACGGTTTAACCGGTCAGCGGCAGATGTCAGCAGCTAACAATAGACTTTAGAGAGATTAGATAGATTTCATATCTATCTAATCTCGTTGTAATTAGTGATAATGATTTAGTGAATAACCACGAAAGCTTTAGAATCTATAACGCAAAGGTAGTGCAAATATCCATGGCCGGCGAACCCTGACCCACATAGATGGAGGTCCTCTAAGTGGCTCGTCTGCTCGTTTATCTCCTATTTCCCCTCCTTCCATTTGAATCGCCTGCTACAATCCCCTGGGGGATTCATTTGGATTTTTTGTCGACATGGATCCCCCCAATTGTAATAAAATGTCTCCAGGGGCACTTAAGAAAAAGAACTTTCTCCATATTCGAATAAGGAATTTTTTTTTCTAACGGTAGGAAACTGGATAGCAACTAATGCATACTATGCGTGTCAATTAAAGCAACCTGCATACCGCAGTCAATTAACGATTTTGTCGCTTTCCGCTCACTGTAAATACACTGCTTTACACGACACGATTTACTTTTATTAACAGTTCGATATTTATCGTAACACTTGAATAAAAAAAACTGCCGATAAAAACAGTAAATTCCAAAAAGTCTTTAAAGTGACCTGTGAAGCTAACAACTCGTGGTAGTTGTACTGTAAGTAGTTGCAGAGTTGGGTCGTCTGCAGACTGTCTTGATTTAATAAATAAATAATGACTGAGATTTTTATACCATTTGGGAAAAAGGTTTATAATCTTTAAACAGCTGAACCGTCCGTGTTCATCAAACATTAGTAGCAGTATAGGTCCTTGTGGAAGAGTTTCTGCAAGGAAGTACTGCATTGAGTGTTTACCAATGATATTCATAATTGGGAAATTAACGTGTAGCCCCTGGCAAAGTCGTTATTACAGTACCGGCTCTGACAGACTACACCAGTGAGGTCAAATCTCAATTCATTATCGAAAAAGGTATAATCAAATGCGAGTCGCATCTACATTTAGATTTATAACTAGTATTGCAAGGGGTAGCTGATTAAAAAGTTTTAATAAAACGAAAATAATAGCGTTTACTTAATATATCGTCAATTCGAAACTGCTTTGATTTTCATTGAGCTTTAACGCAGTTTGCTGGAGGTAGAATTTGTGTTAGCCAGCGATATTATAAGTGACGATCGTATTAAAAATTATTTTTAAAAATATCGAATTTCGAAAAACAATGCCGAGTTGTGTCGTAAAATTGTACATCGATAACTTTCACTGCACTTCACTATTGACAATAATGTACGTACATCAATTAGCTACTTACACGTAGTTATGAATTAATACGAAACTTGATGAGCGGACAAACGTCAAAACGGCCATCATAGTGTGCCGATATTATAGTTGCACAATACATTTCATTTTCGAGTTCTTAGGTTTTCGCGATTGTTACACATAGGAAATGAAACTATTTTTCCGGATTTAAATCGCGTATATTTGTTTTTTCACGGTTGACTCAACCGAGTCAAACGTGACCATGGGACCTGTAAAGGGCCCGAAACGTCGGTTTGTTTGAAAAAACAAATATACGCGATTTAAATCCGGAAAAATAGTTTCATTTCCTACATTTCATTTTGTTTCCACCCAGGGACCTTCCGCTTATTACTTATAATTATTATATTCCTAAAAAGAAAAACAAATTAAATAAGAAAAAAAATAGATG